TTATATTATTTAATACTTTCTTCCACGTGCACGTATTGAAACCTCAAATATTTTTAATATTTCTCAAGTCAAATTTTCAACACTGAAAAACCGTTACAATATCCAAAAGAGAAACTGCTGTATTTCATGAACTTGGAATATTACCATCATTAATTTTAAAATTTTAATACGTTTTAAATTAAAACTATTGAGTGCTTTCTGTTGTTAAGAGTTACTGTTTGTTATGTGAGGCTTGTAGAGCAAAAGCCCTGGAGAGTTTAAATTCTTGTAACTTAGATTATTAGCAACATACCATTGGAACAACTCATGTATCTGGGTTTTAAGTATAAGGGAAATATTGTTAAATTACCATCTAATAACTTTTCATGAAAGTACTAAGGTACAGGGAATATTCAAGTCCTTTAAATATGAAAACAGTTTAATGCCTTTTGGGGTACATCAGTCTCAGAAAACACACAAATCAAACAAATAACGCACTCCCACATCTTAAGTAGGGGACAGCACTTTATTTTGCCAATAAAAGACAGCTAATTTATCGGTAAGTAAAAATTTCCTAGCAGGACACTTATAAATAGTAAAACCAAGCCTGTGGATGTCAGGAATAAAACTCGATGTGTAGATTACACTCAAAGCCATTTAAAAAATGTGGATTTAAGTGGGTAAGTGCAGGGGACTAAGACAAAGGCACTCCAAGCAGGTACCACTCCAGGAAACACAATCCTCAGCGCCGTGCCTTATTTTCCATGTCTGAAAAGTAATTACAGAAAATGGCATCTTTGTTAATATTTGAGAATCTTCAAAATAAGAGTTGATGTACTTATACCTCACCAGTTACTGGCCCTACCCAATAACCTGGCACTTTGCAATATTTTCAGCATTGTCAGGGTTTGCAAATTGCTAATAACCTCAGTTACAAGAATTTAAACTCTCCAGGGCTGTTGCTCTGCAAGCCTCACATAACAAATGACAGCTATAACAACTCCAATAAATGGGTGTTTTGATTAAGCTCAAGCTAAAGCCCTGGCTTGAAAAGCAAGGAGTTTTTTCTCCTTTTTTTGTTATAAGCTGCTTTTTAACTTTTCATTCAAATTTTGTTTATACTGTAATAATATATAAAACCCACCTAATAAATTCCAAAATTTCAGGATATGAGCTCAGGGCTGCCAAGGCTTTTAGAAAAACCCAATTATTCTCTGCAACAGATGTCCAAAAAGACAACCTAGGCTGGATGGGCAGCAACAGGAGATCACCCACCCCTATTACCTCTCCTGTTTCAGCATCGCCACCTCCTCCTCTGTTTTTGCAAGGAGAGATTTAAGCGCTTCCAGCTCACTTTCACAGAATCACAGAATCACAGAATCACAGAACGTTAGGGACTGGAAGGGACCTCAAAAGATCATCTAGTCCAATCCCCCTGCCGGAGCAGGAACGCCTAGATGAGGTTGCACAGGAAGGCGTCCAGGCGGGTTTTGAATGTCTCCAGAGAAGGAGACTCCACAACCTCTCTGGGCAGCCTGTTCCAGTGCTCTGTTACCCTCACTGAGAAGAAGTTTCTTCTCAAATTTAAGTGGAACCTCCTGTGTTCCAGCTTGTGCCCATTACCTCTTGTCCTATCATTGTTTGTCACCGAGAAGAGCCTGGCTCCATCCTCGTGACACTCACCCTTTAAATATTTCTAAACATGAATGAGGTCTCCCCTCAGTCTCCTCTTCTGCAAACTAAAGAGACCCAGCTCCCTCAGCCGCTCCTCATAAGGGAGATGCTCCACTCCCTTGATCATCTTTGTAGCCCTTTTCTGATCGACCACTTCTTCTTTTGAGATCTTCTTCTTTCCGCTCTTTCTCGGCCACCTCTTCCTGTAAATGTTTGCAGACTTGTTGGCAAATCAGAAGAGATTCCTCCTTTTCCTTCAGCTCTTTCGTAAGTCTGCAGATGAAATAAAAAGGTATCAGCATTGTAGAAGAAAATAAAATATTAGACAAAAAGCTATGTATTCTTTATGAAGTTACATCTAGTGATGTGAACACAAAAATGGAAACTAAAACCAGAAAACAATTATTGCAAAAAAGCCACATTAAAATAATAAAATCAGGGTTTTTGCTCTCACTGCTCAGGAATCTGTATGTCATGTTGTGACATTTAATTTCAGGATTTACCTTGACTCTGAAATTCCATTTTCAGATTTAATTTTTTTCAGTTCATTCTGACAGACATCAAGTTCCGTTGATTTCACCCTAAGAAAACATTTTAAAAAGTGTATTTGTCCAAAGAAATAATAGCTTTTCCTCATGCAGTGATCTAAACATCAGCTTTGTTGACACGTTACCTAACTTGCATTTTCTATTTTAATTAAAAGCCAGACAACAAAAAGTTCTATTATTTCTAGACAATATTTTTCATTACCTGGAGGTTAAAACTCCAATGTCACCTCATCCTAACCCCGTATCACAACAAGTTTAATGTTGCAAACAAAAAAGTGAGATCTCACAACACTGGCCAAAGTTTCAAGTTAAGATATGAATAAAAATGAACAAATAACAAATTAGTAGGTAAGAAGGCTGAAAGCTTTGCGGGATTCTTGTCGTTATGTCATAATTTCACCAATTAATACCCATGGTTAAGCTTCATATTTACATTTAAACAGATACAGAATATGTAATTCTATTAAATTGTACCCATATGACATTGAAATTTTAATTACATTTGGAAAACCTTTACTTTAACTGTTTGTAAAATCTTTGTTTTCATACTCCATACTTGCATTATCATTAAAGTACTTTGTTGCTAAGCATTCCAAATATTTGCAACTTTGTTATGATCAGGCCCTCTGAATCAAGGAATCGAAACCAGAAAGTGCACATCACAGAGGAATGAATCCTTGCTTAAATTTCAGGAAAACACACCAAAAGACCGATGCTAGCTGGTCTGGAGATGGGCAGTACTGGATCATTACTCGTGACCTTAATATTTGAAACAGTAATTTTTATTTTCAGTAGTGCATTATAAAGGTTGCTGCTCTTTCTGAATGATTTTTTTACTGTGGTTTTTGGGTGGGCTGGATGGAGCCATCTTCTTCATTATGGTTTTGTATACTCTTCCTTGAAACCAAAAGTATGGTAAAATTACAAACCACAATAGTGTGCTGGTGCATGAGGAAAAGTCACAGCAAATTTACATTTGGGGAAAAAAAAATTAATCATAGTGACTCATTAAATAGGAAAGTTTCCAATTAGTTTTATTGCACCCTTCCCTCCATCCCAATCCTACACTGTGAAATGCTACTTTCCACGTACATTTTTAGTCCAGAAGTTATGTGGATTTCACAAAACTCATCCTAAACGGGTGTTAAATGAAGTGTGAACTAAGCCGAGCTAATCATGCTTGTTGCCATGCCACTGAAAGCCCTGCTGCCACTGCCGGGCTCAGTCAGGGGTTGGAAACACAGGCCTTTTAATGTGAAGTTAAAGTATTTTCTCTGTTGGTCAGAACCTTCTGAAATCATCACGGCAAGCAGCGCACTCCAAAAAAAAACCCTGTTCTGTTTCTGGACAGCAGCAAAACAAGCAGTGAGATAGCGCACATTACATTAACGGAAAGCATACATTAATGGAGAGCATACATTAACAGCTTCTTGTAGTGGTCCATCTCTGCGGTTACTTTCTGCAGCTTCAGTCCAGCTGTCTCTACTTGATTCGTTAAATCTGAAAACAAAAACATGGGTTTCAATGTATTTATACTAAAATAATTCACTTGTATCCATACTGTGGTTTAGCTGCATCTCAGACATCCTGACTCCACCTCAGTCAGGCAAAGTGGCACATCTCAGCTCTGTCTCCACCACAAATGGGCATCTGTGACAAGGACAGGTTCACAATTTGGAATATTTGGATTGATTTCTCACTGCTTACAAACCATATAAGCCACTTGTTTATATTTTCTTCTTAAGAATGACAAATTAATTTCATGGAGAAGGTGGAAGCACTGTTGCACTGCTGCACGCTCCAGAACAGCCTCCCAATTTCTGTCCGTACCCTGGCAGAGACCAGCTTTAGAGCAAGCAGCTGGGTTTGTTGGTATTTGGTTTCTTATTCTACCAGGAAACATCAAATTCAACTAAATGTAAATATGAAATGCTTTAAATCATACAGTTTGTACATAATGCTGAGAGCAAAAGCATGCAGGAAGGCAGACCTGAAAATAAGCTGCTAATGCTACCTAATATAAAACATTGACACTGAATTAATGGTACTATAGATTTTGTCTCAGTCTCTCTCAGCTAAATGTTATATTTCAGAACACATCACCTACCCATTTCAATCTGCCTTTTTCCCCAGTATATATCCCACTTCTTTTCCTCTGTACAATTAGTTTAATTTCTTTTATACAGTGTAAAGTACACACTACTCATCAGATGCATTCCCAAACTATCAGCATTTACAGAGAGCTTTGTTAAGAGAAAGATAAAATATCTTTGAGCTTGACTAAGCCCCTGCAAAAGTCAGTGGAAATTAATTATAGAAGCACTTGCTATACCACCTGCCACCGATGACAAAACAAATACAATAGATTTTTATATAATATACCACTGCCATTGCATTGATACATTTCAGACACAAACATACCAATGCAGTCACACATTCATTTTTGCAGTTGTTAAGAGACACTGATCTTAACATCAAAACAGCTTCTACTCCAATTCACATCACTCAGAGCCTTCATAGTGAAATGAGCAAACAGATGAGTGTAATTATGTATTAAAGAAAAAGAGCCTTTAATAATTCGGAATAGATTCACACAAAGTGTTGCCTGATGGACAGAAGCAGAAGGACCTGGACATTATAGATCCTCCTGGAGTTGATCTGTTTAAACGCCCCTTTTAACAGCATTAGAGAAATGTAAAAAGCGTGTTTAATCATCATATACAGTTTATATCAGCATCACACGAAAACACAGTGCGCAGCCCTGTTCTGATGCACTGGATACTGACTACACCTGCAACAATATTTAGTAAATAACCAGATTTTTAATAACCGTCCCTGCTCTTCTTCCTGTGATACCACATTTTCAGGTGCTTTGCTATGCCTGTGCTCCTCAAAGTGATGGACATTGGTCTGAAGCTCTTCCACAGCATTATTTTCAATGCTGCCCAAAGTGTGACCACAATAAATGGGGAGGGTAACTTAACTGCTCATTTTTGATGGCCAAGAGCAGTGAGGACAGATCTGATCCCCTGCAGTCACTTTCATTTACTTTAATTTCTTCAATGGGGCATTCTGCAGTCATGTGTTGTTCTATATACTTTGCCAAAGAGAAATAATTCAACCTTAATTTCCTGTCATTCATCCTGACGTTGCCATATGAAGTAAACGGCTCCGAATGCTGACACAAATAGGGGAAATGTTGGCTTCCTGCACCAAGACGACGTAGACAGAACACGTGGGAACAATCCAGCGGTGACAGCAGCAAGCTCTGCTGCAGCACGACTGCTTGGTTACAACAGATTAGGACCAAATTGCTGTAGAACACCACCATGAAAAGCAGAGCCCTTTGCCTTTCTTCGCACAGGGACAGCTACTACAGGCAGCTCTTCACAACCATCCTTTTTGGACTAATTTTTAAAAGCTGTTACAGAATATCTCTGGCAATTATTAATAAATGTGGTCTTTTCGCCTCTTCCTAGATGTGGGAGTACAAACATAAGTTCTGGAAGAAAGGAAAAGGAGAGGGATTACACTTATTTTGGTTCTAGTGCTTCGGGTGGTCCTTTCAGCTCTGTTTCTTCTTTACCCAATTTGTTTTGAGAAGTTTTCATAATAACTGAGCACTGGACAGGAGGTTTTCACGAGGGAGTAGATGGATTCAATTATACGACTGGTTTCTGCAAATCTTCTCTAGATCTCCCAACAAAGGCAATGGGAGCTGATGAGCAGAAAGTCTGAGGGGTGAGACCCACACCCACACCCAGAGACTAAATAATACAGATTGCAATCAAGTCTGGAAAACATAGTACAAAAGAAGAAAGTAATAAAAGAATGGTAATAGAAATGGAAACTTACACTGAAAACTTGCTGAATAAAGAAAAATATTTAATTCAAATACTCATGTAAAAATGTTCTCCAGTGATTAAAAGTGAAGCTTATCGCAAAACATGCAAACCAACAAAAAGCATTCACACTTTGTAATACTGAAACTCAGTTTAAAGCTTTTAAAGAAGTACTGCATGTTAAAGAATCTTCAGGCCAAAGCCATCTCAGTATTGTTCACATTCAGTTTTACTCATCTTTGTGATTCACAATGGATCTTACCATAGTCACAGTCACCAGTGACCTCAGGCAGTACGTGTGATCACTCTGCCACCAAACTGGGACAAAACCTCTGCATTTAACAGCACAGAACACGCACAAAGAAAAGACGTGAAGAATCAAAGGAAAATAACTAAAGTTAGTGACTGTTTCCTCTTATTTGGGTGAATTCCCACAGATGCAGCCCATAGCACCTGCAGAAACACCAAGCACAGCGTCCACTCAGCCATGGGTTTCAGGAAAGCAGCCACCCAGTTTTCAATCTCCCCAGCTGCCTGGCCCATGGCATGGTGCTAAGGAAGGCTCCAGTTCTGGCTTTGTAAAGAGCAACAACTGGTAAAGTTTTCAGTGAAAAAAAATAAAAATAAAAGCACTGTGAACTATATTCATATTGGGTTAACAGCTACTCTGCAAGCCATTGATTTTGCAGCTAATTTGTAACAGATTCACAATGATACCAGTTCAGAAGCATGCATGACAGAACCTTGAGATTTTCTACTTTTCCTGCAAAACCTACTAAAAAATCCAAGATACTTTCTGAAAATGTTGGTCTCATCTAAATAGAAGCTTAATGTTTCACACACATTGAAGAAAAGACCATTTGCCAGTAGTTAAGACTTTCTACAGAGCTAGCCCAGCTCAAATAGATATTGTCATTGAAGTAATTACTTGAGACCCTTTTGCCTTAGCACCAGCTTAGCTCCTGGTGGACAAAAAAGCAACAGCACAGCTCTATTTTGATCAATGCCAGTCATGGTATGAATCTGTTCTGCATCACTAAGTCTCTGGTCTAAAATGACTGTGCCTACTTAAGAATAAATGCATGTCTACAAAGTTCATCTGCTTCCAATTTCAGCAACAAAGCCCATTTCTCAATACCTAGCTGAGGACTGCAAACGAGATTTGCTGCTTCAAACAACCTAATGAAGAAAACAGCACAGGGAGAAAGTAGTTTCATATTCCCTTTATTTAAGCATGGTTTGGGGAACAACTGGCAGAGAGTAACAAGATGGGCTGTGACTCATTATACCCAGCACTGGGCCATCCTGTTCACGTTCTCATCAAGAAGCAGAAAGGCTGCGTGGGCTGCACGTGCTGTCCTCCAGTCCTGCTGACTGCAAACATCCCATCCCAGGGCACGTGTACCAGCAGTAGACAATTTGAAGAATCACAGATTTTAATATTTCTTGTTCTATTAAGCTTTATGAAATCCTCATGGTGAATCAGCCAGGTAGAGATTGCCAGGTTCAGCCTTCTGCCCAGAGCAGTGCTGCTGACAACCAGATAAAGTTATCTGTGCTTTTATTCTTGCAAAATTCTGTGTCTGAGTTTCTGTGCCAGTCCCTTCCATGCCCAAAAGAGCTCTTTAAGTGCTGCTCGCCTTTTAGTGGAGGCCATTTCTCACAACCACCAGCATTGGGGAGGTTTTGCTCAGCCTGCCATCCTGATCTGAGGTAATACATGGTACTTGTATTCTCTTCCCACACTGTACCACCCTCTGCTAAAAAAGGCTTTTCCCCAAGGCTTATCCCAAACCTCCCAAGCTCCAAGCTGTGGCCTATGTGCCCTGTCCCAGCAGAGACTGGAGCCACCATCACCCTACCTCCCCCCCCAGGCACTCCCAGGCTGTTGGCAGGTCCCCTCTCAGCCAGCCAGGACCAGCCCAGCTCTCACAATTAATCTCATTTTAGGATCAACCTTTTTCAGAGACTTAGTCTGTATATACATGAACACAAGTACTCTGTATTACCTCAGATCAAGATGGTGGGCTGAGTGAAGCCTCCCTGAGGCTGCTGGGTGGTTCACACAGGCCTTCACAGCCTTCAGTGGCCTTCACGGTGGAAATGGAGAGCAGCACTTCAGTGTTTCTGGGCATGGAAGGGAACAGCTGACACAGAAATTCAGACACAAGAGCCACAGTATGGCTGTAATGAAACTGAGGCAGAGAGGGAGGAGGGAAACACAGCCCAGCAACATCACAGGGATGGGCAGAAAGAAACAGAATCCAAGGGGTCAGGAAAATATTGGGGGCTCAAACCTGGAAGATGGCAGGAGATTGAAAAGAAGAAGACAGACTGGAACCCAGCTCCTGCTGCTTCATTTCTTTGGTATTCTGGGAAACAGGAGGTTGTAGGTGTTCTGCAAAATTTACTAAAAGAATGTTCTTTGTAGGGAGCAACCTATGAGGCCCTGAATATTGGCTAATAAGCTGTGTCAAAAAAGGGTAAGAATATTTAAGTTTTCTTAGAATGTTTGTGCTAGACCAAATTCAGAAGTATGCTTGACATAGACACTTTGGAATATGATTGTTTAAAAAGCATACTAGAGAAACTGTGAGAAACACGAAATATATACATGAAAAATGACTGTGTCAGACTGGGAATAATTTGCCTCACTGT